ACTTCAAGTATTCAACTATTCCTGATACACATACAGGGCTTTCTTGAATGCTTGAATTCAACTTTCAAGTTTGGTACTACCGATAATTAATGATAATAATGAGACCGATTGGGGAGGTATACTCGTTAAACAACAAGTCATTTTAATTGACTCTATCATTTTATAATAATTTATAAATAACAGGCGCAGAATACAGTTTTTTTTCATTTTTTTGGTTGAACATGTGCCAAAAAGCAGTTGAATGTTACGACATTTTTCCTCTTTATGTTTTGGCTTGATTTTATTGGACAAGATTTCTTTTTTAAATTAAACTTCAAAAAAATTTATTTGCGTGTCAGCTATAACTTGCATGATCAAGGTTAAATTTAGAAGTGAAACAACAGTCTATCAGTTATTGATTGTACAGTAGAGTTCATATTTTCCAAAAATAAACTATAAGATGTTCAACAGAGTAATCCATCAAGTGGAGACCATGATAGAGTGCAAAATGAACGCAAATAATGAGTATTCGCTTTGCTTTTACTTTCTTAAAAAAAAAATTTCTTCTGGTATAGATTGCTGGATAGTTGGACAAACAACTTCGATTGTTGGATTTCGCTAAACCTAACTCTACCTTGATTACGCCATTGCAATGAACTCTCCGATGAAAAAATTTATGACTTATTGAAGGACACATTTTCGAAAATATTATAATTCAGATGATGTATTAATTGATTTCACAAATAAAACATATTTATTTTCTTTCATTTTAAAATGTTTAGATTCTCCTATTAGTGGTATTCATTTTCTTAAAACTCATATTGGAACAAATTACTGTTTATTTCGAAAGGTTTTTCAATATGGAAATATTGAATTAAGTATAATATCAAGTTCAAATGTGTAAGTCTTTCAAATGTATTTTTAATCGCAATAATAAGGGTACTGCGTAGTAAAAAGTGCAGGGAACGATGACCGCCACTAAAAATGCAACATATGTTAGCGTTCAGAACAAATATTATCCCAACAATCAGTTTGGACTTCAGTTTCTGTTCTTCGCTCGAATATATCTTTTGCTGTGACTGCGGATACCCATAGCTACTTCATGTTTTACTCATAAAATATGCTTTACAATTAAAGCCAAGGTAACCTTGGGTGCCGTATCGGCTGTAGTTTTTACGAATACTAAAGATGATGTGAATATAGGTGTTGTTGAGAATAGTATCATGCGAGAACTTTTTTTTTACCATATGTTCACTTCCAATTCCCTGTGCGAATTGAGAACGGGCACGATATTAAGAAAAGGACATTCCCGAATATTGTTTTATTTTCTTTGATATATATATTTTCCAAATTTTTCTATTTCAAAAACAAATGTTAAAGTCAGATCGATGCTGCATTATTAAGCAATAGATTTCGATATTTTTTCAAAGACTTTTGCATCGGATATTAATTAAAACAAAAATAAAACTAATACATATCAACAAGAATTCGACAAGTTCATCAATTATTCATTATATTGGAAGCTTATGAAACTTTCAGGGTAGGTAGATTTCAACTAGTAGAGCAAAAGTTGTCATAGACGCAGAGTTTCCATATGCTTTCTTATATGAGCAATAGAGAGGACAGAGACCAAAGATGACCTGAAATTTTCCTCCTCATAAACAACTAGAATTCTTGTCTATAGCTCAAGTTTTTGTAGCAACTGGGACCAAATCAGGGTTTACATTTTTTTCTTTGAAAAACTATGTTTTCCTTAGCTTAATCATCTCAGACCCATTGTATTTTATAAAGTACAGTTTTGTCAAGTTTCTTAATTTTGAATAACTCGCGAACACGAAATCATATCAAGGTGCAGTTTTCTCTATGACTTTTGTGCATGCATCTGTATAAGAAGTATCACTCTATTTTGGTCACTCAGGTAGTATGCCTGATGGATCTTTGAAATACCACCGGTTTTCTGCACTCCGCAAATAATTTCGGTTTTCTGTGTTGGAATCAAGTTAGAAGTGGCTTCTAGTAATATTTCAAAAGTTGAATCGACGGCAGTTCTCAATAAAATGTTTACCCATATCTGTATTTCCCCGTGAAAGAGTACGAGCATGGATCAAAAATGACTTGAAAGATTTTTTTCAGTTTTGATGAGAATATCAACAATGCATACTGTCCGTATTAAATATAAAATCTCAAAGATGTTTCGTCCGTTGGTTGAAGTGTGGTCCTGAAAAGCTAAAGAGAATTGAAACACTGGAATACATATCAATAACCGTGTTTTATTCTCTAGGGTAAGTTTTGTAAGATGTGCCAAAAACCACTAGCACATTATTTTAAGAAAACAAAACTTATATACACCCAAATTTGGTCCTAGTTGTTCTATTGCGACGAGAATACACCGTCTACTCATAGTATCTCTGTCGCATTTGTAGAATATTTTGATTGCTTGTATCAAATAGCAAACTGATCGTTGCCACTGTAGCAGATTCTTTTTTGATAATTTTTAGTATTTTAAACCGACATACAGTTTGGTCACAATTGAAACGAAGAATAAAAGTATCGACTCAAACCAGACTATGCGGATCGTTTAGAGGCCTTGATAGGTAGCTTAAATTTTACTTGCACATGTAAACATTGAGAACAAATGATTCAATGGAATTTTATAGGATTTTTTCAATTTATCTAGCATCTTAGCCAGAGATTCGAGTAGTTCCAAAAATTATACAGACTGATAGAGCAATCGATAGTTTATAAAAAGAGTATAACAATAAAAGATTCGCAAAGTTTTGCAGGACTAGTGTAAATGTGGAGGAAAAAATCAAAAAGAATTCTCTCGATCTATAAAAGTACGATATGAATAGGATTGTAATAATTCCACTTCCTATGAACTGAACAAGCAATTATATTACATGATAATATTTGTAAGAATAAGAATCAATCATGCATGTGCTACGGTTTCAAATTTATGCCCAAAAGTTGTTAATATCTTAGATGACTTGAATGTTCGTGCATCAATTTGAAAAAAATATATCACAAATTAACAGGACATTCTGAAAAGTTCTCGCAAAAAAATGGAATTAGTTAGTATGAATATGTATATATTTTTGTTTTTATTTTTATTTTTATGTTACTGAAGAAAGAATATTTCGACCTTTTCCAGTGTTTTGAACGGTCATCATCTGCTTTGCCATAACTAAAGACATTGAAATGAAAAATTTAAAAGAATAATATAAATCTTATCCATAGATTCTAAAATATTAACATCAATCATTAAACTAATCAAAATAAAATAATATAAATCAACTAACTTAACTACTAATGTAATATAATTACAATGAAGGAAAAAGAATAACTTTGGATAATTTCAATAAATTATCAATAGATATTGTAATTACATATAAATGAGTGAAAATCGAATCGAAAATAATATATTTGATATATAACCTTCATTGAATATCATATTCGTCCATAGAAGTGAGTACATCATAATATAAATACAATTAAACAAATATTATTATTTTCTCTATTAAAATAAGCGAGATGACAAAGAAGATATATTTTTCAAAAATGGCATTCATCTCCTATATATGTTTGTTCATTTTTATCTCACTTGTACTATACTTTAAACAGACGATCATATTTCTTTTTAAATTGTTTTTGTCATTGTTGATATATCATTTTAGTATTATTACTACGAGTTGTTAAAGCACATTGACTAGCTATGCTATATTATGTCACAAATTTAATTAGATTATTTATAGTTGCGTTCAATTATAGTTACATCTTTTATTTTGGAAATTTTTCATTGACAACAATTTACATTGAGATGTTATAGCTATTCTCTCTAGTAGCCACAAAAAATAAAATGAAGAGCATTTGTTGAAGCATCATTGATGAATACTGATGAGATTTTGGATCATAATGAACTACTTGAATACGTAGTGAGTACGTAGTGAATACGTGAACAGAGACAAGCCCACGTGGCCTAATGGATTAAGGCATCGGACTCCTAAATTTATGATTGAGAGAGTCATCCGAAGATTCCGGGTTCGAGTCCCGGCGTGGGTATTTCAATATTTTGCTTCTTTGTATTCGCTTATTTATTTTGATTTTGTTTATGACGAATATTGATAAGTGAGAACATGTGAGAAAAGAACGTACATATTCGAACTTCGATCATTGTCAAAGAACTTCATTGAATAATATATCTATTAATCTTGTATTCTCTCATAGATTGATAAATCGAATTTTTCATTTATAATATCGAAGAGAGATATTCGACATAGTCGAAATTCGAAATTTCGCATGAGTAACATAACAGATAAGTTTTTTTAATAACCTTAATATAATAAACAATTATTTGTTTTAATGATTAATAAATATATGTGAGAGATCATGTAACAGAGATTAACACGAATAATTGCATTTTTTGTATTAGACTTGGAGTGTTGTATTGTAAGCAAATAAACATAACGACGAAGGAACCAAATATGTTGAAGATCGAAAAAAATTCATATTAACATAGAAATCTCAACATCTCACATCATATTGTACCAAGTATTAGACGATATGACATTCTCAAGTTCATCGCATTACAACACATGAACTCTGGAAAGGTTGATTTGTCCAGTAGGTCATAATTACTTGAGGAAAATTCTGACATTCCTTGAAGGAGGAAATTTTTGTTTGTTTTGACTAATTTTCGAAGTTTATTTAATTTTTGTCCGAAAAAATAAAATCAGTCAAATTAAAACTATTCAGTTTGATCGAGTAAACAATGCTCTAGTCAATCATATAACAAAAAACAAACACTGAAGCTTTGCTAAAATACAGTAAACTGGAAAAAAAACTAGTAAAAATAGATGAATCATGTTGTACAAAAACAGAAGAGTGGATACGCACCAAGAAAGAATACATGCTAAATTTTTAGTCATATTTGCATATGTCTTAGCTGCACGAAAGTAGAAGAAAATATCGACAGAGCTGAAAATAGTATTTTTAAATACACTTTAATATTTGTCTATTGGTTTTTAGGTGAAACATAAGCCGTGTCGACATGCTTCGCAATATTCTTTAGCATGTGGTGCCAACATTTTTCCTTTTCTTTGAGCAGGATCATGGCGTATTTGACGAGATCGTGTTGTATCATTTTGTATGAATTCTTGATTTCCAAAATCGACATTGTTTATCATATCGGGAAAATAGATTTCAAAAAATAACTTAGCTAAATTTTTCATGACTCGACAAACTTCATCTAAAAATATGAAAAGAAAAATTTACAAGATAATATGATAAAAAAATACAAGACATACCAATATACCAAAGAGCATGAACATATGTACCACAACGTAGACAATGTTGTCCAAAAATTTTAAGTACAATAAATCCAATATCTTGCGAACTAAGTAAAAATGAAATTCGAGCTCGTGCTGATGTCCATGTATGTTTACAACATGTATTCGGACATTTGAATTGTGCTTTAGCATTGTCAAGTTTGCAATATTGAAAATTTAAATTCATATATGATAAACTGATGAATTCTTCGTCAGAAAAAAGTTTATAATTAACATTATAACATAATAACAATGGACCTGAAATAAGTCGGACAAATTCAGCATGGAATGCAACCTTTGTATCCGAACAAAAATCTTTTTTCATATGATCCGGAATGTTCTTTGCAAGTTGGACTGAAATAAAAAATATACACATTTAGTATTATGACATGGCGAAATTTTTTCTGATTCATCATGACAAAGCAAAACAAAAGCTGTTTTCTCACTTACGATCGTCCTTCATAAGTGCAAGCTGCGATTCATGTTGAATTTCATGTTCAGAACTAACTTTATTATGATTAAGAACGAATGCTTTAATTAATGATTTATCTTCATTATCATTGAGTTTTGGCACAGAAATATGTTTCAGTTGTTGTTTACTTTCTTTCTTAGCTGAATCATTGTCAACTTGTTTATTTTCCCATCTATAAAATAATTTTTTTTTGTGTTGATCATCATGATTCATTAATTCAGTTGAATCAGTAGATAACGATTGACGAAATTGAGAGTCATGAGATTTAACCATTTTTGAACAACCTTTTGCTGAAGTATGTTGACGATTGTGTTTATGTATTGATCCCGTCATAGTAGATTTTATGAATTATTTCAGATGACAGTGAACGTGTGTATATGTCTTTGTTTGTTGAATATCTACAAAGAAAACATGAATGTTTGACGTCTTGGCTTATATAGGGAGAAAATAATATGAGTAATTTGGACTAGACGTTCTTCCATAATATGACGCAATTCCAATGAAGGAAGGAAAAAAAGGAAAAAAATCAGTAAAAATAAAGACAAAATAAATGATCTAATTATAAAAATATAAAAATTTGCCCGATAATGAATTTTAAAAAATAATAAAAATTTAAGTGTTCATATTATGATGCAATAAAATTTTCGATTCCTTCGTATTGCTATTTTGTTCTTTGGTAAATCATCTGGTTCCATTTTCAAGGTACAATCTTCTAATGACGTCGTTCAACGATAAAATGATAGAGACGATACTAATAATATTTTTTCTGTTTTCCTTTGATTATGATTAGATGTATGCGAAAAAAATATCTTTATATACAAATGGTAGATGAGAGAAAGATATTCTTTTTCTTTTCGCTTTTGCTCAAAGACATATTGTCGACATCGATTGGTTCGTTTTTTTTTTATTTGATTTTAGCCATTGACTAAAAAAATTCCGAGATGATGCAGTTATTCAGTAAAATGATTCATTTTTATAATAACGAATAAAAAAAACATGCGTCGTAAGAAGTGAACCAAAAAGAACGTGGACCGAAGTCCATCACTCTTATTGCAATACATTTAAACTTGCAGTTACTGTGACAGATATTAGTTTACTTCATAGAACCGAGAAAATACACGAATAACAAACGATAAACTGATATCAATTGGATTTTTTTTTCTAAATTTGTCCTAAACGATAATGATGTTTGTATCAATTGTAAAGAGAACCAGAAGAAATAGTTAACTCGCGGAGTGGTGGTCGATTTTTCTGTTTGCGTTTGCGTTCTATACCACGAGGAAAAGCGCGTGCATGCTAGGTAATGTCAAAATAGCTGGCTACTCATCAATGACTCACTACCGAACAACCATAAAAGACAAAAGAACAAAAAATTCTGTTTTTTTATTTGATAAAAACAAATATATGATTAAACTTTATACAAAATGTTAACAAACTCGAGATAAATATCGATGATGAGAATTATCTTTTATGTCATTTGAATATTGTACAAAGTCATCTTCTCAAAATAATATTAACAACAATGTTTTATTTTTAGCTATGTTACGTTGTTCATGTATAAGTTTGAAATGTTCAAATTTGAGTTGATGTATAAGGTATCAGAGATGAGACCGGTTCGGTTAGAAATCTTTGAACAGTTCGGTCGGTTACGTTTGGTTCGGTTAGATAGAATCGAAATAATCTTTCAATTTAAGTTTGAACGGACGTTTTTAGTAAGACATAGCAAGAAAAAAATATAATCGTACAACGATTATCTGTTGCTTGTAACTCGTATATTATCTCACATATTTTTAAACTTGTTTTGGAAGGTAAGGATATTATAACAGAGTTAGGAGATCAAATGAATAATCTTTACTTTTTGTTTTCTCTAAATATTAATTACTCTTAGCTTCTATTGTTTGATTTGATGTTGCGTATACGTATATAAATCACTAAAATCCTTATTAGTTTAAGATAAACTTCGCTTTCTCTAAGCTCGTTTTCATAACAAAGTCTTAAAAATTCAGTTCATTAAGTAGAGACTTTTTCGATTCGGTTCAGTTAGGTTAGAATTTTTCTAAAAATTCGGTCGGTTACTTTCGGTTCGATTCTGTTCGGTTGGACAAAAATGGTAACCGATCCCATCTCTGATAGATATATTCAAATTATTGTCATTTACTTAGGGCAGTCCAAAATTAGCGACGGAGGTACGTTATTTTCTTACAGAAAGCTTTAAAAAAATTTCTTTTTTTATGAACAGATAGAGCGCCTTTCGCTCTATTTTTCTATGCTATTTGATCACTATTCAACTGGTATCATAATAATAAAATTTCGATAAGATCTGTTTTCTTCGCATATGTGCTGGTAGCATGAATGCTCGTGAGTATTTTTTGAATAAAGTTTGATAAAAACAGGATAGAGAACTGCGGTTTTCACCATTGGAAAGAGGAGATGACGACGCATCGAACCATATATTGCTGATTTTCCTAACATTATTTTTGAAGTTTTTTCATTCAATTCTCTAACCGTCGGGAAAATGCTATTTTATGAAAAAAGAAAAAAAAATCGATAAAAAATCGTAGTAGACGTCCGTCTGGAATACGTACTATCTCAAAATAGTTGAACTTAAACATCTGAGCCTTTCGCACTTTGTATATCTGCAATTAGCGGTTTGAATGAGAACCTTATTATTGAAAATTCACTGTAAACAATTCACAGGATAGGTTTGTTTTTTAAAAGGTCAACTGAAAATCTTATAAAAAACAAGCTAGAAAAATCAGTAATACATGGTTCGATGCATCTTCATCTCTTCTTTCCAATGGTGAAAACTGCAGTTCTCTACCTTGTTTCTATCAAACTTTATTCAAAAAATACTCACGAGCATTCATGTTCATGCTACCAGCCAACATGCGAACGAAACAGATCTTATCGAAATTTTATTATTATGATACCAGTTGAATAGTGATCAAATAGCATAGAAAAATAGAGTGAAAGACGCTCTATCTGTTCATAAAAAAAGAAAATTTTTTTTTAAAGCTTTCTGTTAGAAAATAAAGTACCTCCGTCACCACTTTTGGACTACCCTAAGTAAAACCAAAACGAAAAATCTCCAATAATATTTAGTAAAAATTATGTCAATTAGAAATTTGTCAACTAAACAGTCAGACTCTTAAGTAAGAAAATAGTCATTTTTAAATTTTTTCAAAGCTATGAATTAAAATAAAATACAAAATCGTGGAAAACTACTTGTCATTTTAACTTTTATATAGAACTCTGAAATTAACTTGCTAAAAAGTTCTACTAGCCAACTTTGTAATGATTAAAATATAACATTTTAAAATTATTACGTATTTCGATTTCTAATTCAAGTATACAAGATTTAGGGTATGATGCTACGTAGATTAAAATACCATTAACTTAGTCGTTGGAGACCTCTTCCTAGATAACTACAGAGATTAGATAATCAAAATCCCAGTAGACTTACATGATAGTTCTGAAGTTGGGAAGATTGATTTGCCAGTCAAAAGAGAATGTCTCGAAATCGGAATGATGTAGAAACATACGAACTCATCACTGCTTAGGATCATTCTTGCCAGAGATAAAACCGGTTTTCCATTCTTTCACACCCGTACCCAGTGAATCGTGGCTGAAAACATCTACTTATGCAACCCAATTTATTTCTCGGATGACTCATTATTTGCTAAGATGACAGAACAAACCACGCCTTCTAGATGCTTATACTCTTGTTGGAAATTTCCATTAAAGCAATAAGTCAATATTTAGTAAACTGTAACTTCGACCAATGGTGTTTTCGCCATGAGAGTTTTGATAATTTTATCCAATTTTCACTAGGCTTTTGACAATAAACAGTGCCAAATTTTCGGCAGCAAAGCCCAGAAACTGCCGCAACTCTAATCAATATTCAACAAAGTATCGAAATTTCAGTGTACAAATTGCAATTATCAGAATTCCACAGAAACATTTTTTTTACATCTCGACAAATATTAGCTGATTACTTGGAAAAATTGAGTCATATCCTTCGGACACATGCGATGCATTATTTGTTCTCGAAAAAAGTACTGCAATAGTTCGTTGCTATTTTAAACTCATATGGTTTTCATATGACGTCAAACGTTACTAATATAGAAAGAAATTATGAGGGGGACGGAACAGTTACATATTTCGTTTGTCTTCTTTTCCAATTGAATCATTAGTTTAAAAAAAACATTATTCTAGTATAAAAGCTCATAGTTTCGGCGTCAAACGATAAGAAGTTTTGTCTATTCTGACAAGATGGTCGAGCATATTATGATGTCAAATCGAAAACGAATAGCTGTTGTTGCACATAATAACAAGAAAACAGAACTTATTGACTGTCTCAAACAACATCGTGAAGTTCTCTCTCAACATGAACTGTTCGGAACTGGCACAACAGGATCTCTTGTAGAAAAAGAACTTAATCTACCAGTGACCAAGTTTCGCAGTGGTCCGTTTGGCGGGGATCAACAATTAGGAGCAAAAATTGCTTCCCATGAACTCGACATACTTTTCTTCCTAATTGATCCTTTGGATTCTCATCCTCATAATTCTGATGTCCAAGGTTTATTAAGATTAGCACAAGTATGGGGTATTGTCTGTGCTACAACAGCTGGTTCGATTGATTTTATTCTGACTTCGCCGAAAATGTTCGAATCATGTACAAGGCGTGTTCATTCAACTCTTGTTTCACCAATAGCTGCTAAAGGCGAGAAAAAAACATTAATACCTATCGAAACACGATGCGTTCCTGTGCTTAATGAAAAGTCAAAATTGAAACTGCCACGTATATCACCTTCGCGATCACGTCTAGTGACTCATCAGACTATTTTCAAGAAATGTTAGTTAACTGTATTGTTTTGTGATTTTTTTACAGCTCAATAAAGTATGTGGGTGTGGGTAAGATGAATGTAAACATATGCGCACACTCGGTAATGGTAAGCTGAGCTTGACTCTCATTCTTCATAGAAGCAACCTAGGATAATAGATTCTAATTACTTATTACAGATACGAGCAGAGGACGATGCTTTTTTGGATGGAACTGCAGGGTCTATTTGTAATGCTTGACTTGAATAACAAAAAAATCGGCGAAAAATCGATCAGTTTAATATATTAATTCACAAGTTGTTCTTTTGTATATCATGGATAATTTTATGACACATCTGTAAGAAACAAGATTCAATTTGTTATGATTTATATGAAGGCCAATGTAAGATACGTGGGATAACAAACTTTTTCTTTCGCTCTCAATATAATATGCAGTAGTTATATTTCACATATCTTGCCTTTTTTATTTTCTAAAAGTCTGACAGAACAAATTGAAAAGATTTTTTTTATGCAGTTTCAGAGAATTCGACGAAGCATCTTTTGAGAAAAAAATATTCAAGATTTTATTGTTTGGCAACGCAGAGAAATATTCAAAATAAACCATGTCGCAAACATGTTAGGATATCCGACATAACTATATTTCTCTAGGTTTTATTTCAAATAAAAAGCCATCTTCCTTTCTGATTTTCAAACATCTCTTTTCTGATGTAGCAAGAAAAAAACTAAGCGAAGCATAATTCATTGTCACTGTTGACAAGAAAAGCAATCATTAAGCAAAAACAGCACTTCTCTACCATGACGACGTTTCATATTGTCGATTTTTCATGGCTCCACTGCAATGCAAATGATGCTCTCACAAAAACAGCATTTATTTCAATACAATCAATATTATTCTTTCTTATTTAATTGTGACACAGGCTTTTTGTTTCAAGACTATATATATATGCGATGAAACAAACTTTTCATTTACTTTGACAAGCTTTTTTTCCAATACATCCGTACATTTTTCAAGTTCGAAAGCATACTGATTTGAATGCAAATATATTTTACATATACACAATTGCATGCCTTTCGGTAACGATAATAAATATTATTCACCTGATATACATGTGTTTAAAAAAACCATTTTGTAGTTTCGCGCTGAATTAAAAACGAGTTCTGCCTAAGTTTAATTTTGCCTAAAGTTCAATTTCTCCTGGAATATATTTTCAATACAGCGAGGATTATAAAACTAAAAATGTCTCCCTTTTTTTATCTCGTCTCTTATCATCGCCTTCGAAAATCTTTTGAGCCTTTCGTAGATTAACATTGTTCTGCTGCCTCTGGTTAGTTGTTCTACTAAAGAAAGAAATTTTGTCTTGATGATTAATTATTTCAGCTTTATTTGACATATAAAATAGAACATCATAATCAAAAAATAAACAAATAAAAGTTAAACAGTTTATTTTTACATAAACATAATAGAATATTAAGAAAAAAATTAAATATCTTCATTGCATGAATAATATTCATCTTTATTTGATGGTTTGTTTTTAATCAATTTCCTTTTAGCTGACATAACATTGTAACCATTTAATTGGGCATGTGTTTCATCATTTTTTTTTAATTTGAACTTGATTTTGATGCAACTGATCGACGACGTTTTGAACTACAAGTGTGCCCAAACAAGCAAAAAATAAGTGAGGACGTCGTCCAAGACTAGTCTAAAATGTCTTTACTACTCGTCAGGTTTAGTCTGAGACGTCTTGCATATCCATCAGGACCAGTTGCCTTTTCGAGAAACGTCCTTCAACTACGTTTAGACTAGTCTAAAAAGTCTTCGCATCCGTCATGTTTAGTCCGTTTTGTTTGTGAGTGTGGTGTAGGCAGGTGTAAGTGAATAGAAGATCCTAATCACACACACCATTCTGCTGTTAATGAATCTGAATGAAGTATGCTATCTAGTGAAAGGCAAAAGTTGTTTTCTAACGATATTGCCGTGTCATATTTAATATGCAAAAAGAATAATTATGTCAATATAGATATCAAATTCAGAAGGTTGAAGAGAAAACCATAATCCACACCCACACCCACAACCACACCCTCTTTTGAAAATCTTAATATTATTGAAATGCTAGCTCAAATGAACAAATTGAGTGCTTCTTTTTCTTTGTTTATTGAGAAATACGATGAAATATCGAATCTTCTAAAATATCTATCTGAACTGAACAATGAATTATACGGAAAATTCTCAGTCTTTGTATTATCTGAAAAGAAATTGGCACATGTTCATGATAATGTAAGTTTTATTTATTTCAACATGAAATAAAACACAACAACCTTTTTAGAACAATCGTACTCTGTTAACTATCAGTAATCAAACCATCAAATAGAGATGTAATGAAATGTTTCATTGCTATTCATTGTCTAATTTATCAATTTCAACCATCTCACATCATGCAGAAATGAATCTCAATCTGTTTACTCCGCATAAGATGAATTTCATGAAACAATTTTGTTTTTTCTTCTTCCTTGTCATCATTCCTCGTTCACTCTTTCTATGAATGTTTTACTGTTGCTATGTATATTTCTTCTCAATAGAGTAGATCTTTGAAAAGAATTTAAAAAAAAAAGATGTCGGTAGAACCGACAGAAACGGAGCAGAAAGCGCCACCATGCTGCAAAAGTAAGAAACGATTCATTTAAAAAAAAACACGCAAACGGTGTAAGACGCACAACTCTTATCGACGGCGACACATCGTTAACATCATGTAGAACGTTATAGCTTTTCAATTACTTGACAGAGGTAAGTTAATTATTAGAAAGATCTAAAAAGCAAAAGAAACCATTTTGAATCTTAAATACTTAAGGCCAAGACGCTGAAAATATTGAAAACCACTGAGATGGATATAACATTGACACCCATCATCGATTTTATTTAAGTAGATTTTTTTCAGTTACCACTCGCATCCATTCATTATTTCGCAACTTTCTCCTATTTGTCTGATCTTTTCATTTATTCCAATTGTATAATGTTGTCTATATCTAAGATGATTTGTTTGCATTTTCTTTCTCGTACTCTATTCATAAGTTTCACTTATTAAAGAAATAAGAAACGACACAGACACAATTGTAAACTTTGGGCGTAAGTGATGACAATAAGAAAAAAGGTTTTCGGTCGCGAGCCAACTTGCACAGATGAAAGTAAAAACCTCTCAGTCAGAGCGCAATAGGTGACAATGCAGACAAAAAGCTTGCGACCATAGCGAAATTCGTAACAATGAGTGCAGAAGGCTTCGCTTCACTCACGGATGTAACGGAGTTATAGGGGACAACTTTCGTCACTCGCATTAATGTGAAGCATTAAGTATCAATCACTTCAAGCCACAGAGCAATGCGTCAAACTGTAGACGAGACAGCTTCATGCTAATCAACAATGAACGGAACTCAAACGAAAAAGCTTTGGGCTGCATGCTGGTACTTCGATGTCAAAATGTGAAATTTTGACCATTTCACCACTTTGTTAGGACGGTGGTGGGAATATGGAGACCACAGAGAAATCAATAGAAATGATTCACAAAAGCTTTGAAGAATAGAGTAATTTGTCAGAGTGAGAGCTGAAAGTTTTAAGAGGCACGCTAATCACTCAGAGTCACAGCGAAAAATTCCTGCTCTCACAATCCTCCAGTCATTTAGCAGAATGTGAGCGAAAAGTTTCAAGTGATATTGGAAGTCATGAGAGTGACAAAGATATATCTGAACTCACATTAGGCTAATGAGACGACCCAATAAAAACACGCAGCCCACCTATCACTATGCCTAGGGCAGGATGAACAGTGTTAGACACCACAAAATTATGTGCTAAAAGGAAAGCAACAGCGATAGATTCATCGATTCGACTAAGTGTCTGCGAAGAATATCATGTGGCATTGTGGTGCTTCAGACTTCCATAAAAATCCTTTGGATCACAAGTGGATATTGAAGGAGAGAGAAAGAAATTTTAATGTGATCTATCAAAAATATGTTCGTGGCAGAAAACCGTTTCGGACAAACGACGAATGTCTTTCGTCGATAGCGAACGCTTTTGCACTTTGCATTATGCGAAAGAATCGGAAGCGTTTTACCCTACTCATTCATGTGCCAGGGTAACGGAAATCACTTTCCAACCAAAAAAGGATCTACTAAGACAATTAGAAAAGTGTCGACCAATCCAGCGATATGCAACAGCCGCCATGAAAGATTTCTAGCTAGCTAGCAATTTATTTTCATGACAGTGAACATTTTCCAGTAACAGACAACAATGTTAGAAAAGCAAAAGAACATCAGAGAACCTGTCCATGGCTTAAGATAGTCGGGTGTGGGTGGGTGTTCGGTTTAATTGAAGTGTCACACCAACACCCACAACGTAATACAGTGAAAGCGAACGAATAAATACAGCAGCAAATTGAAATCTACCTAACATGCGATAGACAAAAAAAGAAATCATATAATTTTGCGAGCGCATGAAAGTCGAGCTCGTTGAAATTAAGTATTTGCATTCACTTTTTCGTTCTCAATGATAACAAAGTTTATGTTTGTCTTTTGTCGTATCTGCTCGGATCTCATAAAGAGAAAGTAACTGATTTTTGTCGTTGTTTAGGATTTCGTTACTGGGAATTTTTTTAATTGCACATTTCTGTTTTTATTCTGCTAAATGACCTTATTAGTTGAAATGCACAACAAAAGTATAGTGATATCTCTCATCGCAATTATTCTTTCATTAACTAAGATGATTATATGCGTAATTCACTTGATAGAGAAATCTTTGATGCGCATGTTGAATTTATTTAAATAGTTTATAATCTTTACATATTTTTAGAAGAACTCCACATATGCTGAGATATTTTAGAACCTATGAAAATTCGAGTCAATGTCAAAATATTTTCACCTATGTCATTGCGGATGGTACTCTTTTTGTTTTAGAAAAAGTAATATTTAATTTACTTTCTAACAGTAAAAAGAAAGTGAAAGTGTCACCCTACATGTCATGTAACCATTGGATGAAAAATACTTCAATAAAATACTGCTATTGTAAAGCACAACATACGGATAAGAAATTGAAGTCAGTAAAAATGAACTGGGCAGTTTTGCTTTTTTCTCTCTAGTATAAGATTATAGAGAAATGCAGTTAGTTTCTCAAATGTAAGTTAAACTAAATCCAAAAAATGTCTGTTCTTGCATGTGTTTGTCTATCATAGGTCTTTAAAACCATTATCTCGCTAATCTATTTACCTATTAGATAGATAAGAAATAATAACTGTCTTATCTTACTTACTATTTCTATCGGGTGGCACAAAATGAATTACGGTCTTTATGTCTTTTTTATACTCTCCTTTATCATTCCTTTGACTGAGAGACTTTTTTTAATCAAAAGACAGCGCTTGAAATTCTACATAAAATGGTATACTTTATTTAACGAATATAGTTTCCTAGATTTTTATTTGGATTAATGGTCATCGTTCACTCCAATGAGATAAACAATTTAAATTCTTGTTTTTTTAATCTTTTTTTGACGAAAGGTTATATTGTGTCTTTCAATGTTGACTTTGTTGTTAGGTGTTCCCAGTTGATAGCTTCAGTCAATTGATCCCATAAACTATAATCTAATGGACATCAATCAAGCGAATTTGTTACCCAACGGATCTCCGGGATAAATCCAGGAAAATAATGAACAGATCATTTTTTTACTCAGAATAGGGGTGTGAGATCTTGCTAATGTCTCCAGTTGTTTTCTTGACGAGTTTTAGAGTTATCGTAAGAACATTATTTAGGTATCTTGGGTGTGAGTGTTGGGAGATTAACAGCACACCCATATTCACCCCACACCCACCGAAGCAGCACCGCAATTTCATTTTTTTTGTTCTTTTATAATCAAGCTGGTTTACATGACTGCTATAAAAAACAAATGATTAATGTCTATTTTTTCGGTCCTTTTTCTTCCTACTTTCACCTTGAAAGCATTTATTGTGTTTTTGGTATCACTGTTGTGCTAAATTCTTCTTGTGCTTTGAAAGAAAGCAAAAAATTCGTATGTTGAAAATGTCGTTTTGATTATTATGTTAAAAAAGACTTCTGTACATAGATAATTCACTTTTTGTGTGAAACTAGCAAAAGACGATGTCTACCAATAACATGGACAAGCAATTAAGACGATGTTTAGACGCTGCTATAGAAACTATGTATGATGTAATAAGAAAACTCCGACCATCAGCTATATCTGAATCAAATACTTTGTCCATAGATTCGATTTTGCATGATATGAATACATTTACATTAAATATAGAAGAAGATGAAGAAATGGATAAACTTCAAAAGAAAATCGAAGATATTCTTAATAAGCATCTACCATTTTTATCTTCAATGTATAAAAGTTATGTATTAAATTTTTTACATCAGTATGACTATGATTATGATCAACAAATTTTCAAGGATCATTTAAGTATGAGTACTATTCTTCCATTATGTCGTGGTTTTCAAAGTCTCTTAGCTTCAATTGATGCTTTTCAAGCTGCCTGGGATGGAAAATTAGATATTGTTGAAGAATTTATTAAAAATTATCCAACTATAAAAGATAAACCTGGACTGTGGGGTACAACTCTTTTATATTCAGCAGCAAGAAACGGTCATATAGATGTGGTAAGGTATCTTGTTGAAACAGCAAGATGTTCTGTTAACGCCCAAAATGAACAACATCTTGAGAAAATCTTATCATCAGATACGAAAAGCTCTGATTATGAGGCTAGATCAAGAGCAGCTTCAACGGCACTACATGGAGCATGTTTTAATGGACGCTTAGAAATTGTTAAATATTTAGTTGAACATGGAGCTGATTATTTTATAAGAAATCAAGCCTCAGAAACGCCACTTCGAAATATACGACATCATGATAATATTAAACAATACTTTCGAAACTATCTTATCTTAGGTTATTCATCAACTATAAATGATCTACCAGATAAACCTATATTGGAGGAAACTACACTAATAGTAGATTGTATTTGGGAATATAAATTACTCAATGATCGAGATTGGCATTCATTTTCATCTAATGAATCAGATATATTACAAAAGTCTTTAATAATAGAATCTGACCAAGAATTTAAATGTGAAATTCGTTTAACAGCAGCCGATGACATTTATAGTATTTCAATGACTAAATTTCTGCGTTCAAGTACAAATCTCGATAAAAATAATTTAGCTTGGGTTCGATGTCATGGTTCATCAATTTTAAATTTTGATTGCTCTTCATTATGGCAAATTATGTTTTTAACACATCCGAAAGCTAAATCAAATTCTATACCATCTTTAGATGTCTCTAATATTCCATCAGTAGATGATTCGACATTCGAAATAGAACTTCATTCTTGGTATAATTGTGACGCAAATACAAATTCACGATTAGATGACGCAATGAATTATCGTCAAAAAATGGTCGATTTAAGTTTAGATTTTATTAGTGACAAAAATTTAATTTTCAATCTTCAAAAATTTTCATTTACAAATAAGAGAGGGACTATTACAGGTTTCATTCGATGGATACCAAAATTAGTATCAAATAATGAACAAGATAAAGATAAAACGAAAACAATAGATAATTTTTCAGATATGACAAATTTAAATCCAATACCTCTCACAAGAAAACGTCTTCAGCAAACAAGCAATGTAATTGATGGTAGTTTATCTAAAGATGATGAATTATTTGAAGATGGAAATGGTGATGATACAGCCTCATTGACTTTTTCAAATGATGTTGATGATGATGCTGATCAAGATAATGATGTCTTGTCAAGATCAAATAAGGTAAATAGGAGCTAAGCAATAGAACGCAATGTCTATAAATTCTTATAATTATGTCAAAATTAAATTTTTTTGTCATTGAAATTTTCACACTGTGAATTTTCAGCATTGCCGGATAATGTGAGATCTGAATTTAAAAAATTTTCGAAAGTACAACGTCATTCAGAGAGCTTGTGGAAAGGTGTGCGTGTGTCTATGGGTGTACAGAAAATAGTCTCTGTAAACTTGCAGTCATACTCACATCACTACGACTGTTTTAAATGAGAGACTATCGGAACTTTTTTTTTTAAGTTGATTTTTTCTATGGACTTTATTAATTTTGATGATACACCCACACCCTATGCTGTACTGATTCCGAGCTACTTAGGCTCGATCAATCATGATCAGCCTATGGTTCAGTAAGGCTCGAGTCGGATTCGGTCTTGATTTTCTTTTCTCAAAGAAGCCTATTAAGCATGGCTTTCTCTTATCGATAATAGTCAAATTTATGTAAGCACGAAAATCCAAGTCTTTGCTTAGATTTAACCTAGGAATGCGTCATTTCTGGTTCTTAGGACTGATCTGGACTTCACTGAACTTGATCGGAATTGATAGAAATCCGTCTGAAATTGACTGTAATAGGTCTGGATTGGCATTAGTTAGGGGCGGGGACTTAGTGTTACATAAACAGCTTTTTTAGAGTGGGTGTGAGAGTGTAGTTCATCTCTTTACTCACACTCACACTCATACTCACACCCATACCCTTCTCCCCTAACGAATTGAGACGTGTATGCGCGCAAAAACAGATCTACTGTACGATTAGTCTACAATGTAACTGAATTTAAGATACCTCTTCTGTGTTTCTTTTACACTACCTGTAACATAGTAAGAAAAACATATTTTATCGTCGACATAGACCAGCAATAGCTAGTAATTCAAAAAGTGAAACATTCATTGGCAAAATTTCTTCATTTAAAATATCATTGCTCCATCATGTTTCATACTTTAACTTCATAGAGATTATGCCAGAATCGTGGATGATACCACTGTGTCTAAAAACTTATCACCTGGAAGAAAATCCGCATCATTTTTACCAATTGTCGAAATCTTAGTTCTGATAGTTGAAGTTTATCAATATAGCTTAGCTCATTTTTTTCCATCAACGTTTACACTCGAAACCTAATATAGAAGAATTTATAAGAATACATATCAGAAAAAATTTATGTGTTCGTAGACAAGTACAATGGATTCTGAGCAGTATTTCGATTCATTAGATGAGTTTGTTTTTTAATGAAAATTCGAAGAAATAAACTTTCAACTTATTTTCAGACAACTGAAGTATCTGATAGTGCTACATGGTCTGTCAATGATGATGCAAGTGATGATGATGAATCTTCAATATCTGTTACTAGTCATGATGGAGTTGAAGACGAACAAGACTCAAAGTTTCCAACAACGAGAACAGATGATACTTCTGATGAGACAGATGATGTTACAATCGACGATTATCTTGATCCCACTAGTGACACTTCCCATCTGGCACTATCAACAAAAATAGTGAAAGACTCAGAAACAACAGAAGATCGTGTAATTACAGAAACAGTGTTAGAAAATTTAAAAAAAGAATTGGAAACACTCAAACGTGCTCGTGATGATTCAAGAGAAAAGGCTATGCTACAACTAAACTCATCTGAAAAGAGATCGCATGAACTCGAAGAAGAATTAGCTCAAACTCTTCAAAGGACTGAACAATTGAATGATGAACTCAAAAAGCTGAAAAAAAAAGAAGAAAAGATAAAAGAAATAGCCAGTACTATCCAAACAATTAAATACATTAAAATTGAAAAAAATATTTTGTATGACTTTATAATACCAAAACAAGAATTAATACTTGATTATTTACAAAGAACAAAACAATTAGATAATTTTTTCATTGATAAAATACCAAAAATGACATTCAAAGAAAGCGATAATACATTTGCATTAACCTTGACTGGTATTCAAGCTCATCATGAAGCATTTAAAGACATCTTAAAAAGAATATTAACTTTGTCAAATATAAAACAACGAGCTGTTGAGTTTTATCAAAGACATCTCAGACGAATAACAACATCAATAAATAAAACACTTTTTCAAGTTCAACCAAACACTAAATATTGGAAACAATATAGCAAATTCTTATATGGATTATTAAAAACAGAAAGTGCACAGCATTGGGCAAAATTCAAAGATGTTATTGGACTCAAAACCTTAGAATGTAGTGAATTATTTATTCTAGGCGATTCTAGATCACCATGGGTTGAAATAAGAAAAGCAACTGATTCGTTTATGGCAGAAAATTCATTAATAAATGGAATTGAACAAATGAAACGTCAAGCATTAGACAAATTTATTGAACTAAATATTTCTGTTCAACGAATAAAAATTTCAATAAAACCGACAAAAGCTTCAATCAACACTCTCAAACATTTTATCGAAAAAATTAAACGAATATTAGAAGAAGATCATAAATATATTGGTCACGAGTTAAAGAATTTTCGTCATGTCCCACACTTATTACAACGATTAATGGTTTATTATTGTTGTTTTACCATTCAATTACCTTTATATGAATCATCAATTAAACTACTAAAAAAAATACAGGAGAATACAGTAATTACTATATCTACATCGACTGGCTCGGGTAAGGAAATTACTACTAAGGTTCATTAGACTCAAAATTTTCAGAGTTCCACCAAGACGTAGTTAATTTAATTTTTTTTACATAGAAACGGCTTCAGTTGAGCGATATTCTTTGGTCAGAACCGCATTCGGTCGAATTGAACTTCACCATTCTAAATGAGGTTTTCTAAACAGTTCCTCAGAATGAGAGAATCCGGATCTTTCAATCGATCCAAATATAAAATGTTTTCACAATGATCATCTATTTTCTTATTTATTGTCGTAATTTTTAACTAAAAACTCTAAAAATGAAGTATATTTCGATATCAATATTGTAATAAGGTTTTCATTTTTTGGAGAAAACTATTTTCTTTTGGAAGTCTTCTATTGTAGGAAGAGATTTGATCGGAATTCTATAGTTGCTTCAAAGATTACACCTCATTAAATTTGCTATATGAAATTCAATTATTCATTTTATTTTCTATTTAAGGAAAGTCATCCTTGCTACCAGCTTTGTTACTTGCTGAAGGATATGACAAAGTGTTTGTAACACAACCTCGTCGTTTACCTTGCAGTTTAATTTGTGATCGTGTTAATAAAACTATGACAATTGATACAAATCCTAATGCAGAAAAATTAGCTGGATGGGCTGTTAGTGGTGATGAAGATAATTCAAGAGCTAAAATTCTTTATTTAACAGATGGATTATTGAAAGAACGTTTACTCAATGATGCAAATTTTATTACAAATCATACACTTGCTAATAAATCGATCGTGCTTTTTGTGGATGAAGTGCACGAAAGATCTGTTAATATTGATCTTTGTTTAGCATTAATAGCTCGTATGCTTACTGATAATCGAGCGTTATCATCAAGAATCAAAGTTATTATTTCATCTGCTACACTACATCCATCTGTACCAAAACTTTTTCAAAGTATAAAAAATGTTAAATTTTCAGAATTTACAAGTCCAACTATGGGCACTCTGCATCTTGTAAAACCGATTCAAAGGCCAAACGCAAACATAATAAATATTGTACAAGAGTTATATAACAAACGAGAAAGACAAGATCAAATATTATGTTTTGTTAATTCAGTTTCAGAAGTTAATCAATGTTGTCGTTTATTAGCTGAAATAAGTCAAAAAACAGTTGTTGCTTATCCATTAGTTCAATCTCAATCGTCTTCTACTCAAAAAGAATATCTTCGAAAAGGAAGTGTTTTCTTTTCAACAACAGTTGCTGAAACTTCTTTAACATTTCCATCATTGAAATATGTGATTGATACTGGTATGATTAATATTCCTGTTTTTGATATTGGAACTCAACGAATGATATTGAAAGAAGTTCATGCAGCTGAATCAACAATAAAACAACGTTATGGACGTTTAGGAAGAACACAGCCTGGAGAATATTATGCTTTGTATGATTTTGATCCTAAAACTAAACCATTTCCGGTACCACAAATATGTCAATCGGATTTAATTAGTATTGAATTTTCATTGCGAAAATCCCCATTGAAAAATGGATTAGATTATATGAAACAATTTTTACCCGAACAACCCAAACGAGAAGCTATTTTTTATACCACGCAGGAATTAATACGAATGCGTAAGTTATTTTGATCTGCAGAAAAAAAACAATACACATAAACTTATGTTTTATCATTCAAATCGAAATTAAATGAGGAATGTTTTAAAATAATTATGATAAATCATTTCAATAGAATTTAAGATTTTGACATGGAGCATCTCACAAGAAAACATTTTCAACTAATCAATAGCTATCAGTTACGATGTATCGATTATACTTATTCCGAATATGACCATAAAAAAAATCTTCTTCGACGTTTATATACTAGATTTCTTGACTAACAATTATTTTTCAGAAATCATGTTTAATCTCCTAGTCAGGTTATAGAATATATCGAAGTACCGATAAGACAGCAAAAGCAAAAATAAAAAAATAACGCGCAAATAGCGGCAATAAAAATGAAAAATAGGGCTTCCGTAAAAATAAGTAAAGAACATATCTATTGGGAATGTAGAAATAAAAAAGAAAACGTTTCCAGATAATACATCATTATTGAAAAAGAACTATCGTCTGACAGAGATTTTACACATTGTGTATCTTGTATTAGTATTATGAAAATAAAGAAAACGTATGAGTTTCACATTTCAGTCTCAACAGAGTTGCACTATCAAGTTTTTTTTTTCTAGGCATTTCGATATACTTTTAAAATTTGGATAGATCAAAGAAAATTTCGGCAAAAGGTATGATAGGATGAAAAATCTAAGATTTCTCCAAGTCATATTCGAAATCAATATGACCTCATCAGTCTTACATCTTAAAAACAATCAATATTGTTACTTATATTGTTTCCCATCATTTATCAAAGTAAATCGAGTTAAACTCAATCTAAATATACATAAATGATATTAGTTTGATAAAAATTATAATTCGAAAATTTCCTCATTTTAATTTAGGAAGGTGAATAGAATGAGAACTAACTAATTAATTTTTTCTCTTTTGATATAATGTTAGTTTCTATATTTATAATGAAATTTTCATTATGAATTACTTATTAATATTAGCTTCTCTATTTTTATAGAAGTTTTGAAGGAAAGTTCCAATGAATTGACAACCTATGGTAAATTACTTGCTAAATTACCTGATTTTGGTTCTTTGCCTATGGCACAATGTGTATTAGCTGCTCTTCGAAAATACAATTGCGGACGCGATTTGATTTGTCTTGCATCTATTCTAAGTGTTTTAAATACAACAAATCTATTAACACAAATACCACCACGTTTTAAAAGTTCTGATGGTGATTTTATGACACTTCTAAATGTAATGAATGAAATTTTATTAATTAAGAAATCTGTTCCAGCACGATCATTCATATTAGCACGTGTCTGTGATGTGAAAGGTCTTAGTCATATAAGACATGTTATTGGACAAGCATTAAGACGATATGATACTTTAGAAAAATCATTTGATCTTTCAAATGATTATCGTGAACAAGCTCAAATTCAATGTGGCAATTGGGTATTAATAGCAAAATCATTATTAGCAGGTTATTCTGATAATGTCTTTGTTTCTAAAAGAGATTTACAAGATCGAACTCATCATTTTCTACGTTATGGTAATGCAAATGATACAGCTGTTTTAGATTTAAAATCAACATTAATACAACCGATAAGTCAACCACCTGTATCTCTTGTCGTAGCGCGAAATATTCTTTATTTGAGTTCAGTTCGTCTAATAGCTATAATTTCATTCTTAGGAAAAATAAAAGCTGATTGGATTGAACATGATGTTGAAAGACATATAAAATTAAATGAAACCGAAGAAAATTTTCTTAAAGCTAATAATGGATATTCAACTGCAAGAACAATCTTTTCCAACACCGTTCGGATGGGATTAAATAATAGACTTCTTAGTTTAACTGGAACGGCAGGTGTTACACTCAAAAGTGAATTATATCTACTTCAACAATTAATTGTTCAGCAGACATTTTCGTTACAAAATAATAATACAAAAGATTCAACAGCATATAAGAACTTATCACAAAATTTATTCAGTGTCACGAAAATGACTCAAATATTTAATCCAATGATTCGGAGATGGGCAGCTCAAAAACAAGTTACAATAACAGTAAATAGTAATGCAGCCACTAAAACGTGTGATATAACAGTGAAAGGACGAGATTCGGAAATTAGAAAAGTCAAAGAAGAATTCGATTCATTTTTAGGTTGGTTAAAAATGTGTGCTGTTGTTAGACATCCAAATTCAGGTAAAAAGAAATGATCTTTAATGAACGTTAAATAATCATATTCTTTAAAATTTATTGATATCAGGTGTTTCTCCACGTCTTCTTCGTGCTCAAGTGCGTGCTAATTGTGAAGATATTGAGGAAAGAATTTCTCATATTACAGATCCTAAACGAATATACATTGATTTGTATAATAATGTTAAGAGCTCAACAGCAACACGTGAAACACGAATGGAAGTTGTTGCTTGGGTAGCTGTTTGTAAATTTAATTGTAAATTAGAAGGTGGTTTTGTTCGAGATTGGGTTGTTGGAAAATATGTAACACGACCAGCTATTGCAAATCCAAAGGACTGGATTGAATATAAGGCAAATCATCACGGCGTAAATATTCCTTATATGAATAGACAAGTTGTTCCAGCTGATTTAGACTGTCATTTACCAACATACGGTTCATTTGATATTGAGAAATTTCAAGATGAACTTCATAAATTTGGTATGAAGTGCGAATGTTATCGAGAAGAATGGAGATATGTTTTATTAATTGATGAAGGTGTTCGAACAGGACCATTTACTATGGATCTAATTGAACCACATGTTGCATTAACACACGATCGTATTGATTTTGATGTTAGTAATTTAGTGTTGGAAAAAAACTATACACGTGACCTAGGAATGCGTATTGATATTCAACAAAAACCCTACTCAATTGAACTTGAAACAATTATTAATAATATCAAAAATAAACAGTTTTATGTTCTTCGTAGTATTGACAGTAAACTCACTGAACGTATTGAAAAAATGACAAAAATTCGTCATTGGAAACAATTAGAGCCAACATTCAATATTTTACCAAATCCACCTTTAAAATGTAATGCACTTCTTGTACCATTACATTATACAAGTATTACATATCAAGCTCTATTAAAACAAATGCAACTAATCAATCCTTACATAGAAATAAAATCTATTGAAGAAATTAAAAATCCATATTTGGAAGAGATCTATGAAGGTATGAAAAAAGTAATTAGTACACAATGTCAGGGATTTAATCCACATGAACGTGAACTTTTTCATGGTACAAGTGGTGATGGAATTAAGGGAATAACTGAATATGGTTTTGATGATCGATTTTATAATCCAGATGGAGCTTGGGGTAAGTTTCATTATTTAGTTGTTAGTTTTTACAAGATGCTAACATATTCATTTATTATCGTCGATGTTTAAATATAAGAATTGCATAAGAAATATAGCTTAAAATTAAAATAAATCCAACATTATTTCACATCTTTAAATTATTCTGGCTAATATACAATAATGATCTCAAAGAGAATAACGGTTTCCAGGAAAAATCTGGCGTCGACATATATTGTTTTATTTGATCAATATTTTTTGATTTATCTTATAGGTCATGGTGCTTATTTCGCTGATGATCCTCGAAAATCGCATCAATACACAAATCCTGTTGCAGCAGATGAAACACGCGTCATATTTTATAATAAAGTACTATTGGGCAATGAATCAATCTGTTCAGCCGCCGATAACTCATTAGTATCTGCACCAAAAGGTTATCATTCAATCCAAGGAACGGCATTTACATATAAGGAATACATAGTCTATCGCTATGGTCAGGCGAGACCTTATTTAAAAGTCACTTATAAACCTTAATTGACTAAAAAGCCATTTCAATCTGTTGAAATTAAAAAACGCTTTGAACGTTCAATGCTTTTTTTAATACAAACTAAATTTAGACAACATACAGTTGCTTGTGAATTAATGAAGTTTTTTCTTACTATATACATAACTAACACTTAAATAAAATCTATCTGTCAAAACTACATGACTTGACAATTAACTCTGAAAACAAATTAAATAATAAGACATTATCAATAAATGAAGGATTTTTTGGTCTTTTTTCTACGTGTTGTTTTTTTTAACAATGGTTATAATGAAGTATCCTAGTTAGTGCATTTCAACTGAATTCTATTATTTATTTCTTTGTTTACTATGTGACGATATGAAACATCAAACACAGTCATGCATATTTTTTGACGAGAGTGAAAACACGTGGATAATAGTTTACGAAGAGAAAACCAATGTCTAGAACCTAGCCGTACACGATCATCACTCACACCATGACACAAGTCTCTCGTGGAGAACTTTTTTCCTCGTCTTATACCTCGAGAAAAAGGGGAACCGAGATCGTAGTTAAAATATTGGTGTTACCAAAATTTTACTCTGGTTTTCATAAAGCTTAAGATGTGCTTATGTAACAGGTTCTTTTTTTATTTACAAGTAATGATCCATGTCTACTCTTAACCATACTTTTACTTTTAAATTGAAGTCGTGTCACATTGCTCAAAACACAATATCACAGTTTTGGTCAAACGTAAAAAGTGAAACAAAAACAAGAATTTCAAAAATCGTATGGTTAGAAGTGTCAGTTGATCGGCTGAGTCATCGTCAACGATGTCTGCAGAATTTTACTAATATCTTAGTCGTTATTCTTGCTGTATATAATTGCTAAAATTTTGCACCCACCCCCATACCCTCATTAAGTATAATATAAACAAACGAAAGATGCTCATCAACATGAGAAACACGAACATTTGACCACGTTCAAGATAAAGTTTATGATTTGAAATATCTAATATATCAAATTCAAATCATGAATCATCAACATTATTAACTATATTATTGATGTGTTAGCTAATTGTTCAAATAATTTATATCGACTACCAGACTCAATTGATGATGTACCTTTTGCTATATAAAAATGCGAAAAAAGGGATTGTTGATGTCTTTGTTGTTGATCATGTTTGTTCATCATTTGTATCAACTTCAAATTGTAATTCTTCTTTACCATTACGCGTGGTTGATTGTAGTTTCTAAATACTAAGATTACAGCAAAAGTTGACTGTATTAGAGCTTAGATTAGTTACAAAACTACGGCTGATTCGCATTGAGATATTTCCATCAGTGACTCGGAGAGCAAAAAGACTCTTCTTGATAGACAAAACTGAAAGGATGTCGCTAGTCGACGCAGATCGATTTTCAAATGCTAACAATATGAGAATAATTGAATGAGATTGAGATTGGTTATTTGGTGAATAACATACAGGTGTGTTCTTTCTTTCCTTCTTTTTCCTTATTTGCTGTTTTTTTTCGATGAATCATTGAGCTGTTGCAATGAAACAACGTTATATGATTTTCATTTGTAACCTTCAATGATGATTTGCTCAGCTACGTTACAATGTTGTCGAGGGAAGAGTTGAAGTGAAATCGCCTAACATTATTTGCGATCGAGAGAAGACTTGGAGTCATCCATTACTGACAAATTCTATTGAAATTGTCTCTTCTTTATATTTAAATCTATCACCAGAAATAATGGTAGCTATCCATATGTTGTTGACTCTCTCGAGCAAGAATGTTTGGTACAATAAATTGAAGGTGAGAGAAATAAATACAAATCCGCATCGATTAGTCAGACATGTAGATAGTTTGGTAATAGTGAATGCAATTCTCTATGGACTTGATTTCTCATAGTTCTTGAATATTCTTTCAGATCGATTTCAATGGATTGGACGAGTGATCTATCGTTGCTGTCGCCACCATCGTCCTGGATCACGATCCTCGAATCATTACCAGACGAACTTTTCTTTGAAATTTTCCAATATCTATCCATTAGAGATTTGTACAATGGTTTCTATAGTCTCAATTATCGATTTCGCGCAATACTCACTTCTCTCACGAATCTCTACGGTGAAGTAACATTCCAACAAGAATTGTGTTCTTCACATTTTCGTTTCTTTGCTTCACGTATAACAATACTCAGCATGCATTATATTGAGTTGATGGATTTATCACCATTTTCGGCTATTCGTTCATTAACATTGCACATGGAACCCAATCGAATCCAATGCCAATCGATTCGACTCTTTTCTCAGCTCAAATATTTGTATATTTCACAGCATCCAATTGAACATTTCTATTATTCAGTGTCATTACCGTCCTTTGTCTTTACGAATGCATATCCAAATTTGCACACATGTCAACTCAATTTGATCTTGTACCGAATACAACAAGATTGGACTTGTGTTCCATCGTTGCATAGATTGGATATTTGTATAGAAAATCCACGAGTTTTCACACAAATACTTCAGTCTTGTCCGTGCCTCATCCGGTTAAAACTTGAGTTAGCAAGACACTTTACTCGACCTCCAGCTCAATTTAAAGTTCCTGTTCATACATCTCTTCATCGATTAGATCTTTGCTTGAAGGAAACCATGTTTTCATGTTGCGATATAATCGATCTATTCCTCTCGTTGGTGCCCAATCTGACTGTTCTTATTGTTCGAGGGTCTTCGTCCACAGCAAACAATGTCGATATATATTCACTCGCTGATATTCTTCAGCAACGAGTGGCGACACTTCATCACTTTCATTTCGATATGGCTATCGAAGAATCACTAGCTGAAATTGTAGCCCATTATGACAGGCAAGCAATAGGAGAACTTCATCGACTCTTCACCAACATTAAGATATATCCATCAACACAAAAAGCACCAGCACGACTGATCATTGGAAAGTGAAAAATAAACCGATTTACACTTGTTTGTTCATCGGTTCTTAATACAACCACATTGTCTCAATATCGATGAGGACAATTTTTGTAAATGCATAATCGATGACTTTAGACGATAGGAATTCCCATCAATCGATGTTTGAAGCCATTTTATTCGACCTTGCTGCGAATGTATTTGAGCGCGAAACTGGAACAAAGTTGTTGGCGATATTTTACAATTAGGGATGCACCAATTCCAATTCTTGGCTTGGAATTGGACTTGGTCGGAATTGATTGGAATTGAAATGGGATTGATCAGGAATTGGTTGGAATTGGTCTGGAATTGGTCGGCATTGGTCCCAATCAGCATCGATTAGTGGTAGGTATGTCACAATTCCAATGTAGTATTGACCTATTGGTATTGAACAGTATTCGTTGCTATATCCCTAATTCTTTCGCTCAAGGAGGGGTTTTTTAAGAAAATAACGATTCTTTATAAAGTTTGACTAAAGGTTTTCCGGATCGAGGAATCCGAATCCGCAATCAGTTTCTTACAATTTTGAGTTTGACTTTTTTTACTAAAACATATTTTTAGCAAAAAAAATCGTTTTTTTCTTAAAAAACTTTTTTTTAAGTGAGAAAGTGATTTTCGTGTACTCAAAAAGTGAGCACACCCTAGAATCGGTCAGTGTGGCCGTTTCACCATCCGTCCGTCAGGCCGTTTACACGATAAGTCTTGAGAAGATGCAGCGATTGTCATGAAACTTTCTACATAAGATTGTCTCATTGATATCTCGGCCGAGTTCGAAGATGAGAATGATCCGTCAAGAAATTGCTGAGTTATCGCAAAAAATGTCATTATTTCGTGTGCTTTTCTATGCAAACATTGACCTATCCCGATTTTTGTAAAAACTTTTTTTCTCATAATCAAAGAAAAACCTCTACTATTATATATCATTCGATAGAGAATTTCACGGGCTACAAAATGGTATATAAAACATTAAGAAACAAGAAGGTTAAGTCATCTATTGCAAAGATACTTGGTACTATAGTCCTTTGGTCTCAAATTCAGACTGAAATTTTGATTTTTTTCAGTTTTTGTATTTTTTAGTCGTTTTTATTTTTCATATGTAATAAAAGGTATTTATTACATATTGTGACTATGGTCGCATAGAGGGGGTGACACGCTACAATGAACGCTGTTTAGAATAGCGACAGCTATTAAGAAATAGAAATAATGACTCATCTCATGCATAGATAAGACCTAAAGTATTTTGATTTTTTTATACCAGTCTTACGTGTTCCCACACCCACACCCTTTCGCGAAAAAAGGTTTTTTTAGTAAAAATGTCAAGCTCAATATTTTAAAAAACTAATTGCAGATTCGGATTCCTCGACCCCGAAAACCTTTGGTCAAACTTTATAAAGAATCGTTATTTTCTTAAAAAACCCTCCTTGAGCGAAAAAATTAGGGATATAGCAACGAATACTGTTCAATACCAATAGGTCAATACTACATTGGAATTGTGACATACCTACCACTAATAGATGCTGATTGGAACCAATGGCGGCCAATTCCAGACAGATTCCGACCAATTCCTGACCAATTCCAATTCCAACCAATTCCAATTCCGACCAATTCCAATTCCAGTCAATTCCAAGACTTGAAATTGACTCGGATTGGAATTGTTGCATCCCTAGTTATTTTCGTCAAAATATTTTCATTAATCTGGTTGAATAATAAAAAACATTTCAGTATTGATCGATTCTCAGATTAGATTCTGTGATGTCAATAGTAAAGTTCAGATTTCGAAGATGATATCCATTGATTCTTAGCAACAATACAAAAACTATCAAATAAGTAAAGATTTTCCTAATGAATCTTTCGACAGTGTTTCTTCGAGACCAATCAGTTAAGATTTATCTTATTTGGCGTCACAATCGAACTATGCTGACTTTCTCATCATTTATGAACTATCGATATTGTTGAATTTCATTCGAAATAAGTCACTTTTGTTGAATTTTGTTCATGCAAACTTGTTTGATCTAAAAGTGGTATGGAAAAAGTTACGCAGTGATATATCAATAGAAACGTATGTTTGAA